CTGATGGGGTGGCCCAGCTTTGGAGGGAACCGGCGGCCGGACGTGCGGCGGCGGGGGAAGTGGAGGCCGGCGGGGGTGGAGATCGGGGAGGCGCAGGAGCGAGGCATCCGCCGCGCGCCCCGTCAGCTGCCGACCGGAGGAGGAGGCAAACTTAAGAGCTAAGGGGCAGGGGTCTTTCATCTTTAGAATAGATTTAGAAACTCTAATTGTGTGTCACAGGTATGACATCACTATAAGTCGAAGTGTTTGTTGCCAGGTTGTTGATTATATTTATGCTTTTGTATCACTCAGAGATCCTTTGTAGGACTAACCAACAATCTGATTGATTTCAGGTTGACTCCATAAGTTTGAAACAATATCCAATAATTTAATAAAAGTTTTTGATAGTTTTTCTGATATATGACTGTTTTATTTGTGTGATTTTTGACAATTTAAATACACAGTTATATGTAATATACAAGTAAATGTTCCCAAAGACCTGAGACTATGTGGGTTAGGGTTAGGGTTAGGGTTAGGGTTAGGGTTAGGGTTAGGGTTAGACTATGTAGTCCAGGGATCTAAGGGATGAGGGGAGGTGTCAATGTCTGGTCCCATCTGGAGTTCAGGCCCTGAGATGGGGAAGACTCATTGGCAAGAATAAATGAATTGTCAGACCACCAGATTAGATTCACAAATGGATGGCCCTGAATAGCCCCAGCCGTCTTTATTCATACATCAAAAACAAGCATGTTTTTCCTTGCTAACAAACAAGATTTTCCCATCCTCTGACATTAACAAATATGTCAAATATGTTTTCCCCAACTTTCACACCCAAACAACTTTTAACCCAAAACAACATTTATCATTTTGCTATCTTGGTCAATTAATGAGCCAGATACCTCCTGTCTTTACAAAACTAAAGGTCATAAACACAGACACACATTTCCAAGATATCCATCAAAGCATCTTTACAGAAATGGGGTGATCCACCCTGATCCTCTCAGCCCTGAATCAGAACCGTGCCCTGGATAAGACAAACACACCTCATTGAACAGCACAGTGTGAATGTGAAAACCAAGAGATCCATGGTCTGCTACTTTAAGCCAGTGTTGTATGATGACCTCAGTGAACCTTCAAGTTGGACACACTCTGGACCCAAGTAGTCTAATGATTAACATCTCAATATCTCTCAGGTACATTGAAGAAAATACATTCTGTATGAGCAACATTTAGTCAACATTAAATAAGCTTGTTCTGCTAGGATTTGTGAAATACACGTGTAACAAACATGAGAGCAGCTGGGTTAGTTGTTGTGCACGCCTTTAATCCCAGCCCTGAGGAGGAAGAGGCGGGCAGATCTATGTGAGGTGGAGACCAGCCTGGGCTACAGAGGGAGTTCCAGGACAGGCTCCAAAGCTACAGAGAAACCCTTTCTCCAAAAAAAAGAAAAACCACAAAAGATGAGTCCAATTGATAGAAACACAGCAACTCTGACTTTCTTTGTTGACTCTATACTCTCAATGCTCTTCTCTCTTCTTCCATTTTATAAAATACATTTTAAGTTTGCTGCTCTGCATCACAGGTGATCTTGGGCTAACAGTTAGCCATGCTGCCCTCTGTGGATGGAATCTTCCTGATTCTCCCCTCTGAATGTCTCATGCAGCAGGGTTTGCTTCTAACAGGTTCAGCCACTTTATGGTGCACAATGTCTACCTAGATCTGAGTGTCTGAATTTTGTAAGTTGGAACTTCCTAGGATCGCCATTGCTTGTCAGTTTCTGGAATGTGCAGAATTCCATGAGCTAACCAGTAGTCTGGCCTTCTTTCCTCATGTTTATAAAGAGTGCGCCCAACACTGTTGTCTGATGACATCCCAAACCTCAGCTGCCTCAACTACAGTGCTGGAAACCTGAGTCCATTCAATTTGAATCAGTGAACTAACAGATAAAATCCTCTTGTTCAGTTGTCCTGTCAGCATGTCAGTCACCACTAAAGCAAGAGAGGCTGCACACACAGCAACTGTTGTTGTCCGTGATGAATGGTGTTGAGTGAGAAGTCAGAAAGAAGCCCATCCTCAAGTCAACACTCATGGCCTCTAGAAAATGGAAACAAACTTCTGCACTTCAAGTAAGATCAGGACTGGAAAGTGCTTGGCACAGGGCATGGAAATAGCAGAGAACAAAAGGAGGAGCAAGGAAGGGTGGGTTAGGATGAGGTCATCCTTCTAGCAGTCCTGTGCTGGCACATGGAGGACGTAGAGAAGTCAAATGCCGGGATGTCCACTGTGTTCAAGTATCAGTCACTCCCCATTGTACTGAACAAATAGGTAAATGTGCCATGAAAGAAGAACTGAGTTAGATAGTAACAGAAGTATTTCAGTCTCCTGGATACACACAGGTATGGGCAGGCCTCTCCAGTCTCCTAGATGAACACTGGGATGCAGGCATGCCACATCATCTCAGTACAGAAAGGGAGTTTCAAACTTAGGAAGCAGCGGCACTTGGGGTGTGGAGTGTCCATCAGGGCTGCAACCCACTGGGCAAAAGATAATAGCTCCAGAGCTTGTGGAAAAGCAATGACCCGCCCTCTATAATGGAGGACATGGAGATTAGGTTTGAAATTCACATAAAAGTGCATATTTTGTTTGCTTATATAAAATGAAACAGATGAAACTTAGCATGTACCAAGGAAGAAAATAATGTATTATGATAAGAAAATATTCCAACTAGTGTCTTTATTGCCAGACTCCCCGAGCACATTCACATTTATAATAGGATACATCATCTCTAAGATCCAGATAGGGAACTTGCTATATAGTAGGAAGACATACAAATAGGGCCTCTCTCTTCTCATGAAAACTAGCCCTGCACTGACGCTAAAGCTCAGACAAAGAGATCATCCCTGGATTCCCAGGTCTTCTCATTCAGTGATCAGCACTGAACAACAACCACATCATGGATTTGTGGCTGATTTGGGTTTTCCTTGTTGCTCTGTTAAAAGGTAATTTATGAAGAAGAGATACTGGGTCCTTTAGTGGACATGAGCGGGACAGATATAAACTGGAGCTTGTGTGACAGTTTGCTGACAAGATTCTCTGTGTTTGCAGGTGTCCAGTGTGAGGTGCAGCTGGTGGAGTCTGGAGGTGGCCTGATGCGGCCTGGCAGGTCCCTGCAACTCTCCTGTGCAGCCTCTGGATTCACCTTCAGTGGCTACTGGATGGGTTGGGTTCACCAGGCTCCAGGGAAGGGGCTGGAGTGGGTTGCAGAAATTAATGGAGACAGCAGTGACACAAAGTATACACCGTCCTTGAAGGATCGATTCACCATCTCCAGAGACAATGCCAAGAACACTCTGTACCTGCAAACGAACACTGTGAAGTCTGAGGACACCGCCACATATTACTGTGCTAGGCCCTCCACAGTGAGAGGATCTCAGTGTGAACCCAGACATAAACCTCCTGTGAGGTCGCTCACCGCCACCAGGGGGCGCACAGGACACACAGAACACATGTTCAGCTCAGGATTTTTTTTTTTAATTAGTTCAAATTAGGATCAAGCTTGTTTCAAATGTCGATCCCTTCTCCCTCTCCCACCACTCATCCCCATCCCTCCTCCCCAACCCCCAACCTACCCCCGACCCCACACACCCCCCATGCACCCTCTACTCGCCAGGCAGGGTAGAGCCCTCAACCAGGGCTCTGCAAAGTCCACCACGTCATCCTGGCCTTGGCCTGGGTGCTTCCCCATGTGTCCAGGGCAAGAATGCATCCCTTCACGTAGGATGGGCTCTTAAAGTCCCTTCTTACACCAGGGAAAAATACTAAACCACTACCAGGGACCCCCTAGAGTGCAGAGGTCTCCTCATTGACATCCATGTTCAGGGGTCTGGATCAGTCCTGTGCTGGCCTT